TAAGTTTGATATTCGAAAACTATTTTTTCAGATGTTTCTTGAGATCTACATGCTGTGCATAATCCCAACTCAAAAGTGATCAATCAATTGGAGGACTATCCTTGCAATTTTAATTTACTTTGTTGTTGAGATAATTTTTCAGCTGGATCGATATCTTCAGTGTTTGTTGAATTTATTTGTTCTTTAGAATTTAAATTCATTTCAATTTCAGATGTTTGGATTTGATTTGGTTGTGATGTAAGCTTATCAAATGTATGTTGTTCATCATAATTTGATAAGTCAATATGATGTTTTCGTTTTGCATGTCGTAATAGATGTCCAATTCGATGATATGTTGAACTACATATAGGACATGTTAAATTAGCTTTAGGTGGCATTGTTGTTGGATTTGATGATGAATCTCGTTCATCATCGTCATCATCATCGTCATCATCATCATCATCATCATCGTCATCATCGTTATCGTCATCATCATCTTCATTATCAACATCTGATTCTGAATTATTATCAGCACCATTGATAAATATATTTGTTGGTGTTGATGGTGATACTGTTCGTTTAACTCGTTTAATTCCGGATGAATGTTCTAACAAGAAGACAAAAAAAATAAGTTTGTTTTCTTAGACATCTTTGACGAAAGAACATGTCATTATGTACAATTCCAAGAAAAACTTATCGAAAACTATCTCTATTAAGATCAAAATAAATATACTATGATTAATACGATACTCATTCTTCTGTGACATTATTCTTCGTATATGACAATCAGATCGAATAAATTCAAAAAAATAGATAAAATCTTATTTGTTTTTGTGAAAATCATTGATTTTGTCAAGAAAAGTTTGTGCTAAAGCTTGATTCAAGGATTTACTATGATTTTATTTTATCCGATGAAATAATCTTTTCATAATAAAAATGACAATCGTACAAAATTAATTGATCCCATTTATAAACTCGATCATTATCAAAGCTATTCGAATTCGCCTTCGCAATGTAATACATTAAGAAGAGGCTATCATGAAAGAAAAAAGCTTTTTTTATCGAATACCTGTTGTCGATTTAATACCATTCAATGAAGATTGAGACTAGATAAACATAGATAATATCCAAACGATGAAAAATGAACGAGATGAAAGCATATAAGTTACCTGTTCGTCATCAGGCGCCTCACGTTTACTGGCCTTGTTGATAATGTTTGATGATGGTGAAGATTGTGTTAGTAGTAGTGGTGCATCTTGACATCCGTGCCCGTGTGCACCTAAAGATATATGCATAAATATGTATAGAATAGACCAAGGTGACAATAAATTTTGTTCATACTTGTCAAATGATTTTCAAGTGCTTCTAGATTGTCTGAATTGAACGGACAATAGATGCAGATATAAGCAGTGGAAGCATCGTTAGTCATCACCGGTGCTTGAAAACAACGGAAAAAAAAAAGAAAAATGTATAAAACAAAAAATAAATATAAGCTATATGGATCAATAGCGATTCATTCAAATGATATATATGTATAGTTATGTGCACATGTCAACTTTGATTGATCATCATTTGATGTATATTCGTTTACGATCTATTCGTTGATAAATATTTCGTTTGATTTCTCTTCATCGTCTTTCTTTTTTCTTTCTTCAATAACAACAACATCATTTTTTGTTACATACAGGTGTATTTTATACATAAGAGCTCGGCAAGCTTATTATAGAGAACAGAATACAAATCATATTCATTAAAATTAAGTTTTCTCTTGTCAATTGATCAATAACGAATTGTCATCATACTTTTTTGTTGGAAAAAAACTATGATACAAATACAAAAATCTTATCCCACGATTGTCTCAAATAAGTATCGTACTTCTGGTTATATTTGATGGTTAACTTTATTTTCTTACCTTATTTATGATGTATAATAATTGTGACAATATTACTAACATCAAACTGATGGAAAAGAACTGAAATCACTAAAATCTAAAACTAGACAAAAGATAAGAAATAATAAAAGTGAAATCTACTATCATGATCCTGTAAATAAATGTATGTCGGTACAGGTAAAATCCAATATGAAATGATGATTGGATATCAATAGTCATGTTTGACTTAACGAAAGCTTCATAAGATTTGTGATAAATGTCTATATGGACGTGTATTCAATGTTGATGGGCACGTATAGATAAGACAAAAAAAAAAAAAAAGAAAAAAACATCTTTTTTTACATCTTCGTTTTTCTCGTATCCTGTAACAAGAAAGAAAAACGACGTAAGGCGCAACATTCTTCTCTTCTTCTTCATTATACACATTCAATACTCAATTTCTTTGCGTCTTTCGTTCTCTCTCTCTGTCTCTCTCTGTCTCTGTTCGTCTTCTTTCGACGTGCACATACATCTACATGTAGTATTGGTGTGATTATAGAACATGTCAGGCAGAGAAGAGAGAAGAAGAAGAAGAAGAAAGGATGCGCGCCTATAGCACATATGATGCGCTTGTGCACACGCAGTTTTTTGAAAAACGAAGAAGAGAGACAGCGAGAGAGAGAGACGAGCGCATCGAAGGCGAAAGACGAAGGCCAAAGACGTGTGTGTACATACGTACATCATCGCCCACTTCCCATCGTGATCTTCCAATCATCATCTTCTTTTCTCATCACACTTATAAAGCAATTTCAAGAGAAAAAGGTGTGATACAAAATGCAGCATTTTTTTTGTCATCTATTACGCAGACAATAACCGAAGAAGACACGATCAGTGAAAGAAATCGATTTCTCACACATACATACATTTACCGACATTGTAATGGGTTCGACTTTTACCTTTATATGAATATATGTATATACAAATATTCGTACACATGCCATCACCATTACACTTTTATATGTGGAAAAAAGTAAATTGGCCATGAAAATGAATATTAAATTTTAGAAAATAATGAGAGCTTTTCTACTTCCGAAGGAAAAAAGAACTTACGACGAAAAATTGTTTTTTTTTGCTTCTTTTTAATATATCAATATTAATAAGTAATAACATTATATGGCCAAAATGTAACAAACAGAACTTCCAACAAGGTTCTATATTCAAGGAAGAGAACTACTTACGAGAATAAGACATTACATCAATTTTAGTTTATCAACTATTCAACAAAATCGTATATTTGTTTCGTCTTCTATCTATCTCAAGTTATATGTGAAACCGAGAGAGAGAGAGAGAGCAAGAAAAAAAGAAAGGGTTTAGATTTTAGTCTTTTTTCTCTTTTAAATTCAAATATATAATCGGTAGCGATAGTAGTAAGTCACTATATGCAAGGAAGAGAGAAGAATGAAGAGAAGGATAAAAGATTTTTACATGACGAGAATATGCGCAGATGTACTTCATTTAAAAGCGGAGTATATAGATATATACTAAGGAGATTTAGTGGTTCTATGTTCGAAGGCAAAGTGGGGGATCGAAGCACAGATGGTTCGAGAATGGAAAATGTGAAATGAAAAAAAAAACAGGGAAAGAGAAAAGAAAGTGAAGAAGAAAAGAGAAATACGAGACTGATTTTAGTAAGTGTATGGCTGCAGATGGTAGTGGAAGAATTCGTACGTTCTGCTCGTTCGATAATAGAGAGATTCTTGACGGCAGTATTTCTGCCTCGTTTTTATTTTGTCTGTATATGTGTATGTCTCTTTCTCTATGTCTGTATTTATTAAAAAATGCTAACGAAAAGAATCAACGCGAATAAGTATAAGAATAGTTTTCTTTATATACTATACTCAGCATCTTGGTTCTTTACTAGTTACAAAAAACTATGTAGATATAAAATAACTAAAAGAACAGATCAATTCTGATAAAATCATGTCGGTCAAAGACTTCTTCGTTTTTTTTTTGCTTTTTCACATCATGATGTATTACTATGTATTTGATAGGCTCTATCTCGTCTGACGAATATGAATATTAACATCAATCGTTTACGTATGTGCGTCTAAATATGAAAAAAAAAAGAGAAAAAAAATGCAGTATACGAACGCGAAAGTGGATGCATGGATGGTTGACTGAGAAGAATTATAATGATTTACTTAAGATTTTGCTCCACCTATCGCAATACTTCTATGCATGAAGGAAGAGAGCAAAGGTACTTACTATCGAAGAGAAGAAACGCGAGAGTTTTATGCTCTGTCGATTCAAAAAGGGTATATACGTATGTGACCAAGCAAAAAAAAAGGAAGCAGGCAATGACTAGGGATTAAGTTCATGTGCACACAAGTGAATTTTATATAATGCTAGTTCTCCTTCTTTACTTTTTTTTCTCTTCTGCATATGTATAATATTCATCGAGCGTCAAAAATATTGTATAAAATGTTATGAAGAGATGATGATGAATATTGTAAAAGCAACCAAAAGAATTTGTCGATATATAACGTTGTTGAAAGCGCAAGACACTATTCTCGAATTATATATATATATATGCATATTTGCTTATTTCTTCTCTTTTTCCTTCGGTTTCTCTCGTCTTCCTACATCAATCGATAATCGTCCGGATGAATGAGTTTCATGTAGGTTACGCATATTGATCCAGGTAGATGTGCGTATGCATCTGAGTGTATATTCGACCAATAAATTAACAGAAACCTTCGCATTTTGTTATACATACCTACATGTTCTGTCTATTGCTTTTAATATTTGATGAATTGATAAAATGTAATGGAACATTTTCTTTTTTTTTTCGTTTATGCTGGAACTTATGTTTATAAAGTAGAACTATAGAAGAAGTGCTCAGCATAGAATACCATTGAAGGGAAGCAAAGAAAAAAAAAAACAAAATGACGAGAGGAAGTTTGGAACATGTACATTGACACACACACAAAACAAATACGCTTGTTGTTTTTTGACACAACTCACAAATAGAAGAAAATCAAAAGAAATAATATAAATCTCAAGTTTGACAAATACGAAGAGCAAGAGAACACATGAAAAGCAACGACAAGTTCATTACTATAATAAACAAATAGACAAGAAAATAATTGATTTAATAACGTCGTTGTGATAAAGGTTGTGTAACAACATAATGTTGTTCATAGGCACGTGGTTGACCCGTTGGATGAAGGACAAGTCCACCAGTCGGTGGAACTTGTTGTGTTACATAGGCTGTTGTATGATGAAGAGATGTTGGTGGTGGTGCTAATGGTGCATGTTGTTGAGATGTTGGAAGAGCGTTTACAGGTATACCAGGGTGACTGTACAAATGAGTTTGACTCGTTGCACTGCCACGAGATGATGGAGGTGGTGGTGGTGGTGGTTGATTGGATGGAAGAATAGGGATACGTTGATTGCTAGCCACATTAGCACGAGATCGATCATGCGATGATGATAATCCTTGTGGATGATGAGACGGAAGTGATGGAGGTGGTACTTGTTGAGAAACATGTGGCCAACCGTATGGGTCTACTACAGGTGCATGAGAAGCAGCTATGAAAAAAAAACGTATAATTCGAATAAAAACATAACTAGCAAGAGAATCAATCGAACTGATACTTGTCGTTTGAGCTCACATCGAGCCTACAAAAATGCTATGATCAAACTAAGAGTTCGTCTTCGTACGTGTTTCTGAAGCTGAGTTAGAATCATTTTATTGAATTCTCAATCAAGGTTTAACTATATATCGAAAAATCAAAATGCATTATTTCGATGTTAAATTTCGTCTATCAATAAGTGTAATGACTCATAGAATATTTTGAAAGCATCAACCGAAAAGAATATAATTTTGCTCATACATCGAATTTTCAAGTAAAGTCAAGTTTTTATGTCATACCAATGGCAAACGATTGTTTTTTTAGAAATTCGATATTTCGATAAAATTATATTGTTTTCATCTGGAATTTTTAGGATATTGTACGAGCTATTTGGCTTACATATGAGCGACATTCATTTCTTTTGACTTATCAATATGCATCTAAAATTGAGTCAGAAATTCAGTAAAACGATTCTAACTAGACTTCAAAAGCCTATAGAAGGACGAGCCTTTTAAAGATTTTTCTATTTCTACTGGACCGTTCCAGCTGACCCAATATGAGCTCAAACAGCTGGTATCGATTCAGATGGTTATCTCGTAACAAAAAAAATTTACTAACTTTTAACTGGCAAATCAGGATGATGATGTTGTTGCCGTGATGGAGGTGCTGCTGACCACAAGCCTTGTTGTTGTTGTTGAGCTGATTGAGATGTGTCAGAAATGTATTGAGTAGGTAAATATTTGTGAGTGTCTAAAATAAAATTAATCATATTTTATTATTATTATTGCAAAATTTAATCTCAAATCTTTCTAATCTCAAACGTATAAATTACAAAAAACATATTAAAACAATACTTATTTACCATCAGCATAATGTGTAGTATCACGAGGTTTTGGTCGTTCCCAATGTGTTGTTTCCATTGATTCACGACGTAATGTATTATTTGTCGGTGGTGATCTATCACGACGTGGTGCTTGTTGTATATATTCTCGATCATCAAATCGTTCACGTGAATGTGGACGTCGAAGAATTGCATTAGTATTGTTTGGTGGTGAAGCAACATTTCGAGAAGAACGTTCATAAGCTGTACTAACAGATGATGTAGGTGGTAAAGCCATATCACGTCCACGTTGTGGTAATGTATTATAAGGATCTGATAGACGATGTTGATTAGATGATGAAGGAATATATCGTTGATTGTTATTACTTGAATTTATTGATGACAAAGAACTAAGACCAAGACTAGATGTCGATGGTGGATGATCAGATTCACGATAAACGACACGATCACGACTAAAAATTATCAATTAAAAGAAATATGTTTAAATTAAGTCCTAGATATATTTCTTACAACATCGGTTCACGTTGATTCTTTGTATATTGTCGTTTTGGTTCTGGATAATAATCACGATTAGTATCATCAAGTGATCGATCACGTCCACGTCCACTTGTTGTATTTGTTGATATTCGATGATCATATCCTTTATTTGAATTATTAATATTATTTGTATTTGTGTGATGTGAACGTTGTGGTTCATGATGTGATGAACGTGGACGTTTATTATCATTATGTGCTGACATACGATGTAATTTTTCATCACGTAATTTAGCTTCAGCTTGTTGTTGTTGTTGTTGTTGTCGATGTTTGGCTTCATCAACTAAACGTCTTTGTTGTTTTTCAAGTTCTCGTGCTTGATCTTGTTTGTCTTTTTCTAATGCAAGTCGTTTACGTTCGATTTCTAAACGTTCACGTTCAAGAACTAGAATACAAAAATATTTAATAAATATTCATTAGAATTAAAGATTTTTTTTATTACTTTCAAATTCACGTCTCATTCGTGCACGTTCTTCAGCTAAACGTCGTTGTTGCTCTTTAATATTTTCTTCTTCTTGGTGTTGAACATATTGTTTTCGTACAAGTAATTCTTTTTCATGTCGTAAACGTTCTTCATTTTGATAAGTTGAACGACGATCAGTATCAAATGTTTTTGATGATGTTGAATGATGAGTAGTATCTTTTAACTAAACAAACAAAGCAAAAAAAATTATTTTATTTAATTTTTACTTTTCAAATTATAAAATTCTAGATATACATAAGGTTCTTTTGGTTTATCATATTTATTTGATATCATATGAGATGACGTATGTTGTTTAGATTTATCAATTGAAGATGAACGATGATGATCAGGCTTTGTTGTTAATGGAATATAATGTTTTTCACTTGAATGACTTCGACGTGTTACAGGTGATGATGATGCCTTCGATTTTGAAATATATGTAGAATGTGTTGATGATTTTTCAGATCTATTTGAATGTTTATCATTTTTACGATCATTTGTAGTCGATTTGTGAGAAGATTCTAAGAAAAAAGATTTAATCAAAACTTTTATTCGTTATTTATATTTAGTAATCCTGATAGTTTTTGGAAGTGGCAGGAAAACAAAAATATTGACAGACAATTGAAACCTATTCGTCTGGTAGAAAGGATTTGAGAAAAACTGTGTTCTCAAACTCCCCAGACGGGACATAAAAAGTGAAGCAAAAAATATTAGCACGGTTGGCTCAAGGACAATTTTTTTTAGAGGAAGCCATATAGTATATGTTATTTTGCTGATATTCATATGAGTAATAAAGTTGCATTGAAAAACTCTACAAAATGAAGGCAGTTATGAAAAGCAATTGCATCTGATCGCTTTATTGGTGCACTGCCTATGCAGTGTAGCCCATTCTATAGCAAGACCTATGTAAATATTTTTATATTAAATGTATTAGAAACAAATCTCAATAAGACTATTAATAAAAACAACATATACATAATAGTCCAGTTCGGTAAATTTAAATAAATACAGCAAAAATAAGCTATATTATTCTTAATCGTTTAGTTTTAAAGCTATGATTCATCGCATGTAAAAAAAATGCTAATAGAAACTAAATCTTTTATATATCCTAATAATAAATACAGATACTAAAAACAACGTTATTATGAAAGATGTCATGATGAAGATTACCAAAGTGTAAGTCATTATTACGAATTTGATATAGTTATTCAAATCTCAGTGTTCGAGTCGATCAGCGTACATTGCATATATTGCAATCATAAGTAGTGTTTATTATTATTTTAATATATTCTCACTAAGGAAGTTAGCAGCATTAAAAAAAAACTATTAACACAATATGTTCATTGCAGAATCTGTCACGAAACGAATAATTTCTCTATCATCAAAATAAATGAAAGACAGATCAAACTACTCAATACACAAAGAAGTCATAAAAGAGTTTAATCTTTAGTAATCAACAATTAATAGAAGCAGTCATCTATACTTGAAATTATATTCCTAATTAGCATTAGTGTTTCACTGTTAACCATTGTAATATAACATGAACATGAAAAAAAAAACTATTCAAAGAACAATAGAATTTGTTCGAGCGGAAGATTATGATTTCATTATGTTTCTTCAAAAAAAAAAAAACAAAATAATCATAAACTATTGATATAATACCTAATTTTTCGGTTGTTTTTGGAACATCTGCACGAGATATATGATATTTTGTTGATTGACTGTTACTACTACTCGACGAAGTTCGTCGTTTTTCATTATAGGATTCGTTTGGTTTTTTATTCAACGAATCAGTTTCATATGATTTAACTGTTGTGTCATCATTATTTGATTTGTTTATATCGGATGTTGATAGTTTTTTTTTATTTTCATTAGATGTTGATGCTGATCGTTTTTTCGATGATACATTTGTTTCTACTGTCGATAGTTTATCTTGATTATCTGTGATTGAATCACGATTTTTATATGAATCATTTGTAGATGATTTATGACTTGATTGATCTGATCGTTTTTTTTGTGCACTTGATGATGTATCACGTGATGATATTTGACGATTAGATGATGTTGATCTACTATTTGATTTGGATTTTGAAGATGATGAATCCGATGTTTGATCATGCATTTCCTACAAATTCGGAAATGAATTTTGGGAAAAAAAAATATACGCGAAAATATTCGTTTTTTCTTTCATTCTAATTTACATGTGATTGTTCATAAATGTTATCAGATTTCTTAAGAAAACCTATTAGAACAATTCTTGTAAGATTAAAATGTAAAATACGATGTAGCTGTTGTTGCTAAGTATAAGAAGATTGTTTTATTCAATCTATTTTGAGACACATGTCTTCATCATCATTTTTGCTTAATCTTCCAGATATGGAATAAGGAAGTAGTTCATATGTTATCATAAGATGTTATTGATGTACGGTTTGTGAGAGAAGGGGTTTGAGCCTAAACTTACACAGACATACTTTAACATTCCTTTTAGATTGTGTTTTACAAAATAAAGCTCAAATGATATGCCATCTGTTCAGAGCTTAAAGTAGCGATATATATACTCGACGATACGTCTCATCCTACTACTTGACTAAAAAAATATGCCATGTTATTTTATTTAATTGAATTAAAATTAGGCAAATGATGCATTGCAGAATCGAAAAGGGAACGGTTTTTCCTTAATATGGTATTGGGGTAAAGATAGCTCGATAGAGCTGGATTAGTTGGTATACAGAAGTGAATTATGCTTCATTTTTCTGATCCTCTGATCATCAAATTAACTCCTCGATGAGTCATATGTGCATCCTAATGACCACAATAGTTTTTTTTTTTATCTATTGGCGAATAAACGGCTCCATAAAATTACACACTCTATATCAGCTTTTCGCCTTCATCAATTGTTTCTCAGACAAGGACGGTATTAATCAATCTTATATTTAATCTACATCCCACATTATATACGCCGCATTATCTCTTATGTTTGTGCGAAATATATTCTATAAATAGTAGAAGAAATATCAGTAAATCTATCTATCAATGACAAAATGGTTGCGAATCTATACCGTTGTTGTATACTTCCATGGGTAGTCAACCGAAAAAAAAACACAAGGTTTTCAGAAGATTTTTTCGTGTATAGAGTTCGTTGCGCTAATTATTTTGATGAAACAAAAAACATTCGAATTTACTCAATAAGCCATGGTGCATAGGTCAAAATACTCGATAACATCAGTTACCGGTGAGCAACAGTTAGGAGTATTTCTGTTTGAGCATTACGATTTATGAGTAAATTTGAATATTTCTTTTTTCAATCATAATAATCAGCACAATAGTACATTTCGCAAGCACTTCGTCGCTGATAGTATGACAAACTACAACACTGAACAATTGTTCAAATTTGTTTTTGTAATAAAATTCGATATGAAAGTGTGTTGATAAAACTTCATAACGAGAAAAAAAAAACATTTTTATACTCCAACAAATTCATATCAGGCAGAAAAGACGTTTACAACTCTGATACATCGATAGTTACGAGGGAACCACTCGAATTGATATTTCGAGTTCGAGATGAGATCTCAGTCATATCTAGAACCTGTGGATACTAGAAGAAACCTAGAAAATCATTAAAATCACTTAAGAAATAGATGTTACGTCCATTTGTAGGAATATCATCAATTTGTTTTTGTAGATTTGATATCTCGAGAAGAGACCACTGTTTTCGGCTGAAATTTTTAGGAAATTCTAATGATTTTAACAGCTGTCTATGGATAAAGCTTTAGGCCACATTTTGTTTCCTCGATTTTTGTTTTTAGAAATATTGCGTCAAGAGTAAAAAATCCAGTGTAACGATCATAACTTCAAAATGATAGTACATGCAGAACAACCCTTCTAGTCTCAACAGGTCCTACATAATTACTGGAGTCTCATCTCTAACACTAGATACCATTTCGGATGGTTCCCTCGTTAGCAAACATGCAACTAGAGATTTTTCATTTACTTTGTTTAATTTTAATAGTGAAAATATTTAAATCTCATAAACTTACTCGATCAACATAAATTTTTTTTCCATGTAGTTCTGTTTGATGTAATGCTTGAATACATTTTTCAACATCTTCTCGTGTAGCTAAATGAATATATCCAAACCATTGTGATGAACTTGATCCAATAACTTTCGTTGTTAAAACCTATTTTGAATAAGACAAAAGAATAAAAACTAAAATTTGAAAAACAAAATAAATATTTACTTTTCCATATTTTGAAAATAATGCTTTTAAATCAGACGCATGAGTTTCTTTGGCAATATTTGATACCCAAAGATAACAATCATCTAATTAAGAGAAAAAAAAAACGTTTTAGTATATATAGAAAATCGCTGTTCTTTTTTTTTTTACCTTTATTCGATTTATTAGTATTATCTTTTTTTTGTTGTTCATCTGATAATTCTTGTCGATTTGTTTCGCTGATAATTGAAGAAAGAAAATTATAAAATTTAAATGAATTTTGAATAAATATTAAACAAAATAATAAATCGCGCAACAAAATAATAAACAAAAAAGGAAAGAAACAACGAAACCAATTCGATAAAAATAAATAAATAAACGATGAATTCTTTGTTATTGTTGTTGTTGTTGTTGTTGAAATTAAAAAGAAAACATACATTTTTTGTCATTTGAAATGATAAACTTTTCGTCGTTGATTAGTTGTACAATATATATACAGATAAAACAAACACAACTATACTCACATATAAACTTTACTTTTTCTTTTTTCTTATCAAGTAATTAGAATATAGACGAAATCGATTGATTACCTTTTCGATAGATTATCATTCTCAGTCGAAAGATCTGTTGTAGTTGTTGTTGTTGTTGTTGACGTATGTTGTTCATCTTCACCATTTGAATGTTCGAATGATGTTTGTTGTTGTGTTGCTGTTGTTGGTGTTGGTGGTATTGATTCTGTATTATGATTAAAATTTTTTTTATTTGTTGATTGTCCTATTTGATTATTTGTATCTAATTCTTCATCGGATGATGAACAGGATACTTGTATAAGACCGTGATCAATTTTATCATTAGTATTTTCATCTTCTTGATTTGTTAGTAATTGTTCAATTGTTAAATCTTTATTATTATTATCACAGTTGTCAACAATTTGTTTCAAATCAATTGTATCCATATGATTTGTTTGATCATTTTGTTCATCGTCTATATCTTTTGTTAATGATGTTGTTGTTGAAATTTTCATCGGTGATGGTGATGATGATGGTGGTGTTGTTGTTGTTGTTGTTTGCACTTTGAAACAATATGGATTTATTTTTTTCAAGTTTTTTTTTTCACTACTGACTACAAATCAATGTATAACTATTTTGGACAGCAGAATTTCTTTTTCTTTTTCTTTTTCTTTTTTCTTTTATCACCTATTTGATATTATTCTCCTAGGGATTACTTTTTTTTTTTTTTGTCTATATGTGCAATTAAATAACACGCGGAAATAACTTAATTAGTAAATATATGTATAAAAGACGAAATAAGGAGAAAAAACATAGAAGATAGAGAATATTGGTTTATTGTAATTGTGTATGTTAGCATGACTATTTTATAATATAAAGAACTTTTTTTTTTTATTCTCTAATTCTCACCTGGATTTTCAGTATTTAATTGTTGTTTCGTATCGACCTAAAAAATGACAAAAAAAACAAGAAAATTAATTATGAATATAAATCAAATTCGATTTTATGTTAAAGAAAAACAAGCCAAGCCCATCTCATCGGATGTTTCCTGGGCTATACTAACAAGCCTTTGTAAACTTCCCATGATGTACACAACAAAAAATTCACATATATTGCTGAAAACGAATGCTCACAATGAATGGTTATCGTTGCCTTAGCGGAATATTCAGTAGTAGTAAATATCAGAATAGAATTAAAGTGCAATATGTAGTCAATGATCGAAATCTTTTCGGAACGAACTTAAACTTTGATTCGAAAGCATGAAGCGAAGAAAATACATGAATGAATTCTCTATTAGTTATCGAGATTTGATGAGAATAGAAAAAAAAAAGTTGAAGTTATTTTCTTTTTTTGTTTCATTTAAAAATACATTACAAAACAATGCTAATTTTCAGTCTAATATGAATTTAATGCAAAATGAAAGAAATATCAATTTATTTATATGTAAAATGTACTTTAAGTACAAAATATACTGTCTATTTGATGATGTTATGTCAATATGCTTAAATTTCAACGATCGAATATGTTTACCAAGAAATCTATAGTATGAAATAGAAGACGACAACGAAAATGACTTTATGAATAACACTGACTAAAAATACTTTTTATTTAATGAATTTATCCTACATAGATAAAGATGTATAATGTTGCTATAAATACTGACAATGAGTCATCGGTGCAGAATGCATTGATAACACTAGCATCTGTATTTACTGCAATAGTGAAATACCAACTATTAAAAATAACCCTTTTTGTAGCGGTGTACTCTGACCCTTCACTGGACATTGGCACCAAGGTGTATTAACTACATTAAGTCAGTGATTGGTAAATAGACACTGTACAATCCTATATGCAGAATTTAAATTTTTTTAAAAAAATGTCAGTTTAGTTTCCAGACTGATTATACAAAGAGGATGACTATGAGCAAAACTGTCAAAAAATACAATTATTATTTGATATAGAGTTTTTTCTCCTAAGATATTTATTGATAAAGGAAACAAACCTCCATAGTTGATGTTTCTGAACTATTTGTATCATGGAAACTATTTTCTTCATGACTCTAGAAAATAAAAAAAAAAGAAAATATGAAATAAAATTTTAAGAAAATTTTATATACTTACTCGATTATTATCATCTGATGATATTGATTTAAGATCAGTAGACGTATCAAAAAGATAATTATCAGGATCAAGATTTCGATTAAGTAAAGCCTAAAATAATTTATCATAAACATTGTATAATAGAATAGCCAAAGCAAAAAAAAAAAGAATCATTACTTGACGTAGTTTTTCAACAAGAGATCCTTTAAGTTCTTTTTTATCATAAGAAATATTAAATGAACGAAGTTCACGTTGTAAATCAACAACACGTAAATCATTTAATTTACGTTGTTTGACTGAATTTGTTGTTGATGTCATTGACATGTTTCAATTTATTGATATTAAAGACAAAATAAATATATGCACATCTAAAAAGAAGTTTCTTTTTCTCTTCAATTTATTTTATGGTATTCGTCTATTAATCATAGATATTATTGATGACAACAATTAAAGGCATTTGTGTTTTTGTTTATTATCAAGTACATGAGTATATGCATAGCAATTCATCCATTTTGAATACAATCATACCTCTGATGAGATAGATGACGCTAATGTTCGATTTCTTATATAGTTTTACTTGATAGAAAATCTTAGTCGATATTAAGTTTTAATGTAGATCATGCACAAGTGTGTCTCTATTATTTGACATTTACTAATGAGATGATTTTGAATAATAGTGTTAGTAGATAATCTTTTGTTATCATGCTTTTTCTATATGATAAAAACAATGTGAAAGAAAAATAGAATGGATACATTTAATTGTGTTAACACTGTCTTCTTCACTTTACTCTTGGCTTTAACAGCATTCATGCTATCCTGTATATTATCCATAATACTAGCAGACTTTTGAAAACATAATAAAATAGAAAATCTAGTTGATCAAAAAACAAAAAGAAAATAATCCTCAAAGAAATTCTTGAAATACAAATCATCAACATATTTTATAAATAGCAAAGGTTCGAATATGACAACTTACAAGAAGATACAAGAATTAAAGAAATTTTCAAAACGTTGTTTATGATTAACAATCAAAAGTGTATTACTCAATATATTAAATTCTACAAAATCTATCATCATATCAATTTTTTCATTTGAAAAATTTTCGCGCGTATTTAATAATTCTGTTTTTAATGGGGAATTTCAAACAGATCAAATTATTATCTAAAAAAATTATTGAACTTTTAAAACGACTTAGAGGCATTGTGAAGTAATTAAATTCTTTCATGGAATCATTTGAAACATTTTAATTATCAAGTCACTTCAGATAATGAATATTGTTGACGAAACAATTTATAATTTACTTAATCATTTACCTAAATGTTCATCTTCTCAATCGACTAATTCAAAGTAAAAAATTTTATATATAGGATATACACTAAAAAAAGAAAAAAATTACTCTCTTATCAAAAGTAATTTCTATACTTATATAAGATTTAGTTTTTCAATGAATTTCTTTCGCAATAGAGAAAACTAAAACAAAACGGTACTAAATAAAACCGTTGTTTTTTTCAAACAGATTCTATCGTAAACGTAGAGAGAAAAGTAATTTATTCCGGAATGAAATTATATTTTCTAGACTTTGGGCTTTTGTAAAAATTTAATAATGAAACAGTAACATGATTGGAAGTTTTCTCCCTACGTTTCTAGACGTGCACAGTTAACGTGTACATATATATCATGTTAAACTATTGTTAAATTTCTACCAGAGTTGCCAACAGGTTGCTTTTTGTTTTGGCCTGCAGGTCAAGCTAAATGTAAAAGAAAGGCCTACAGAGCGAACTAGACCGATTGATATGTTTGTTTTTTCAAGTCCACGAAGTTCTATAACCTTATTATGGGGTTTGGATGTGAATCTTGGTGATTGAATTTCAGGAGATAACCTACAATTATATTCAAAAAACAGTAAATTCTTGAGGAGTAGAATTAATATTATAAAAAGGGACATTTTCTTTTGATCGTTGTGAAAGTTAGTTCAACTGAATAATTATTTTACTAGACATTATTATCGATCAATATTTGCTTCAAATGTATTGCAAAATTTCAATAAAAACAAACATTCTCATCGTACAATGGGTTTAGCTATTGTACCTAAACCTGATCCAAATCATCCACTTCGACGACGTCAAAATTATATTGAATTACCTAAAAGTATATCTAATTTATTTTTATCTATTAAATATTTTGTATATTTATAAAAGTCATTCCATTTATTCGTTCACATCGAATGCCACCAATACCAAAAGTGAATCAACAAGATAATAAAAATCAACTAGAAAAACCATTGAAAAATTTTGTTGAAGAAAATATTAATAAAATTAAAAATTCTTTACCAATATGTCCACGTCGATATGTTGTTTCGGATAGAAAAGGAAATAAATTTCTTATTGATGGTAGTGGTTTACAAAAAGATTTTATTTATAAAAAGGTATTCATATGACTTTTTTTTCTTCAAAATTTTATTTTTGTTTATATAGAATTATGGTAAAATTCCACGTTATCTCGAAGCGCGTAAACTAGTACATGAACAATCAAATTGTAATTCTGAAGATAGTTCAATGATTGTGTTACCACCGGAAGAACGTCTTTCTCTTATTAATAGTAAATTTCTAAATACTCTATTGAATAATCAATTGTCTTCATTTTTGAAACATGATCTAAACGCGTGGTAAATTATAGGGATAGAAATTTGTACCGAATGCTCTCTCCACATAGACCAAGGCAGACGTTAGTATACTCTCACAAATCGTATGTCAATAACATCTCGTTATGACATATGTACTACTTTCCTTATGGCGTTTTTGATGGATTAGGTAAAAAGAGAATAAAGAAATGTCTCAAAATAGATCAAATACAACAGTTTCTCAGTGATTAGCAAGAATAGTTACAGTGCGTTTCATATGCTAATATCACAGAGATTGCGCTAACAGGTGTTTTTTTTTTTTGAAAAACTTAGATTTAAAAGATCGTTATGAAGATATATTTGCCGAATATCAACGTTTACCGTTACGTCTTGAAACAATATCAGCTATTATGAAAAAAACATATTTAACTAATCAATTAGTTAATATTGAACGTGATATTGATTTTCTTGAAAAACATCAACAAATATTTATTGTTAATAATTATTCTGATATTAACAAAGAATAACTCAATAAAAAAAAAATAATAAAATTTTATTTTTATTTTAAAAAAATATATATAAACAGTCTATTTTATTTGTGTAGTTCTGACTTGTATTTTGTTATTTTGACTTGCTTCTAAAATAATCTTAATAAATACAAAAAAGAAATAAATTAATACAAAGAACTTTGTGTTTTGTTTTTACTTGTATTAACATGATCATTGTTCATGTGCCGAAAGATTCTGTCCATAATTGTTTCTATTATTTATTTCAGACTAGAATGACAAAAGAAAAAAATTAAGTGTTTTAATTTTTCTACAAATAAAAAATCTATAAAAACAAAAAAATATCAATACAAAACCCAAATAGAACAAATTCCATCAATAATCACTTGATAAATTGAATAAAAATATTCTTCAATACAATTATTATCACAAATAGGATAAATCGTCATTCTAATATTATCAAAAAACAAGAATAATCAAATATATATAGATTTATAAAAATAGATTATTCAATTACAACAATATAGACAAATACTCAATATATAACGAAAAATTCTTATTACCATCAAAAAATGTAGAGAATTGGCATTTTGCTAACAGAACAAACAAAAAAACCGTCTTTTGTATTTCAATGTAATTTGATGTAACGAATGATGTTCAGTCTTGATACATATGAACTAGAATCAATTTTCAACAATCAAACACTACAGAAAAATATATATATATATATAAAACAAAATCAACTTACGACAAATTTTCGATTTTTATCTCATTTCACAATTCAATAGACAATTTTTTTTCATCAAAATCCAAATTTGTATATTTGTTAAAATAATATTCTTCTAACATTCGAATAGTCAACAAGAAATCATCATCAATTAATCTTTTCAAATCTTCCTATACTCAGAAAACAAATGTCAATACATATATATAATAACATATTGATGCTATTGTTTTGTCCATTATATTTTTTAGTATCTACTGACATCAACAACGAATATGAGTTTGTTTGCGAACAAAAGAAATAATGAAAGATAGATAGATAGATAGAGCGAAAGAGAGAGAAAGAGAGAGAGACAAATAGAAAACGAAAAAAAACAAACAGTAAGAGAACAATAGAGATAGACAATATAGACAAATATATCCATGAAAGTATTTTTTTTTATCATGATCATCATCTATCTCGAGAAATCAGTAAGCAACTTCAATCCAAATATATCCATCAATTAGACATATACAATTCAACGAAATCAAATGTTTAGTTTTTCTTCTTCATTTTCAATTCAACGATATGGTGAACGTCCTCGTGCACGGTCATAAACACTGGCGTTCGGACCGGCAACACCAGTATTACTAAGTACACCTCCAACGGAACGTTGTGTACTAGTATTCGATGTCGAATATGCGCTCAAAGATGAACCAAGACCACCGACGCCACCAACACCGGTACCCAATACACTTCGACCACCGGCAAATGATGATGTCGGCTGTGTACGAACCGATGATACAGTTGATACTCCGACAGGTGCTGTTTGACCCAAACGTGCATCGTCATCTTTGTAGAATGAGCCTGGATGATATGTATAGATATGAATTCAAATCGATTAAGATTGAAAACAAAAACAAGCAACCAAGAAAAAAACAAAAAATAACCGAGAAACAAATCTTTCACACTACCTGATAATTGTGATGATAATTGTGATGTTCCAGTTAAACCAGATGACTGTTGATAATTTGAATATCCACCAGCAAGTGATGAATAAATTGAATCTAATGATATTATTTTCTATTATTATTACTATTATTAGAAAAAAATAAAGAACAAACTGGAATTTGAATATGGATCAACATTTAATGATGATGAACCTAAACCAGAGTTTGTTGATTGAAGTCCTTAAAATAAATTGAAAAACATGACTTTTATTTCTAAAGTGATCATTTAAGTGGTCAGTAAAATAAATGAATGTCCAAGTCGTCAAAATCAACTTAGTTTTGACGTTTAGCCATGAAAACGAATGATTAATCGATGATTCGTTGGACATATGCGATTGATTGGCAATTTTACAATAAACTGCACAATTAAGTATTTAATTACAAAAAATCATTTTTTTTATTTATATCAATCTCAAGACTAAACGAGGATGTGGCGAAAAGAAAAACAGTAGAGAGAGAGAGAGGACAAGAAAGATTTTGCTTAG